TAAGTGGCTGATCGAAGACTTCATTTCGCCCTTCCTTCCTTCCGTCCATCCTTTCTTCTTTCCCTCCTCCCTTTGTCCCTTCCTTCCTTTCTTGCCTCCATCCTTCCTTACTAGTACTTCCTTGTCCATTTTGATACACTTGTGGACAGTTTATTAAATCTCTCGGATCTGAAAGCTCGTACTCGGACAGAATGTTTCTCCTGACATTTCTGTACGCCTTTGATTAGGTACTGCGAAAGACGTTAATACTTCCCAAACCCCAAGCGTGTTGGTAGATTAGCCTAACACGATAAATCACCAAGTCTGCGGAAGACGTTTTCTATTGTTGGAGATTAACTCTGTGAGCTTTCTGACTTTTCCCCACTCTGCCCTCTTTCATTCCAAGCTAGTCCTGTTATCTTCACGCATACAATACACGGCTGCAACTGGAGATAATAAAGTTTTGCCTACAAGCGACTTTTCAACACTTGCACGCCTGTGCGGCGGAGATATGAACGTCAAATCGGAACCATTGTTACCGATTCTCTCCGGCCAGTGCTTCGCATGTAGACAAAATATTTCCCTTCGTTAAGCCTTTTGGTGCCAGTTGAAGAGGAAACAGGCCTATCTACGGGTTACTTCCGTTTCTGTCTACCGTTGGTTTTGGCAATTACATAGTGCCAGTACTTACAAGCGTTAATGAAACATTTAACAATCAATATACAATATGAAAGTCAGAATACATTCGGGTGGCTAGAAGACTTTACATAGAACCTTGTTTGTAATTTTTTTTTTTCAATTGTTTGAAATGTTTATTAAGGATGACACAAAATCTAATTGTGCTGGTAATTGTTTGTCCTAAATTGTATCAATAGTCAAGATAACACTAATTGGTTAACTGTAACGTTAACAAATTTGAAGACATCTGGAGTCATTGTTACACACGCGTAGTTTTCCTTTCTGGAAAATTATGCATTTCGTTTTGATTTTTTCCATTTCCTCTAGTTGTGTATATTGTAGATATAGCTAGCTAATATTGCCAGTTTCGCCCATACGACGCAGAAGAAGATCCATGTACGTAGACTGACGACGGTTGATGCGTCTGAGCGTTGGCGTTTTAAACTACACCGGAGGCCATCCTGATAACCATGCAGTACATACATACTACTCTGGGGATCCACTCTGATGTGTCAGCCTGAAATGTGTGCATTGCCGGCAGGGCCGCCTGCTGATCCTGGCATTTTCCTGGAAAATATACATTGACTTCTTTCTGAAATATTTGCTCTATTAAAGGGGCATTATGTAACACCTCTGCAGTCTGCACCACAATTGTGATATTTTGATTGAAAAAAATTCTGTTATGATAATTTTACGTCCACTTTTCAACATATTTGTGCAATTATCTCACATCTATGACATTTATGGTTACCGTTTAACACCTCACATCAGTCAGTTTGTGGTGCGACCACAAACTACCAGAATGTAACAAACATGGCTGACAGCAGTGTTTCCAGCTTTTAAACACACGTTATATTTTATCACCTCCACTTCCTGAATGGTACTTATTTGCAATGGAGTAGCGTTTATTCACTTTACTTTGTAAAGAAATGACTATAAAGTGGCTTTTTGTAATGTTACATGATGCTTCTTTAACAACATTTTCCACTCGTAGCGTTGGCGTCGTCTCATATTGCATATAACATCATATAATGAACATATGCAAGAATTCACCATTGTCATCATTTAACATTAAGTGTTAATTTCAGACTTCATCACTCGTTTAATGTTATGAATATTCACTCCCAAACTGCCTTTATGTATTCCGTATTTATTTTCTGGTCCATTGCATATTCATATGAGACAGAAACACTACAGCTGGGTGGTTCGTTTCCTTTATGCATACTTGATGATCATCATAATCCGTACTTAACGACCGTGTTAAGCAGCACGCTACAATCTTAAGTCTCGAGAAGAAATAAAAGAGATAAAGATGATAAACAAGTCGGGTAAAACATTCAGAAAGAGAGCAACTTTTCCGTGTGTTTGAAAAATCCTGCCGACCTCAAACCGCCGTGTATTCCGGGATGACCGCTATCTGGTCATACTAGCTAACTTAACTTTGTGATCATAGTGATGTTTTGTGTGAGGGATTTTATTCATCTGTGTGAGTTTTACGTATCATGCGTGCTTGTGTCAGTTTTTTTTTTATTCTTACAGTAATATCAGGAAATTGATTGGTAAATTCACTACAAATCACTCGGATGAAGGCCTGGCGTCAACCCCGTCTTGTATTAGCCACACAATATAAATGATTTACATCATCACACTTGCAGACTCCAGGAAGAATAGTATGAAACAGTAACGTTAATGGAAATCCTAGTAAAACAACCAAACAGCATTTCCAGAAGCGTTTCAAGAGTCATCGCGTCCTCATTTGAATTCAACACAACTTCGGGCGAGACGATCGACGGTTGTTCAACCCAGATATACCCTTCAAATGATCCAAACCCACTCTGCGTAAATACATCATCCTTCATGAGATAACGCCACGCCTTCTATATCTTTCGCCAGGTTTATTGGTAATATCTTTTAGCTTCAGCAGCCCATTTATATGTGTGATAGCGGCTCTTTATATCAGAAAGTATTTCTAATTTCGGTACCATGTATTAAATAACTGCCTCCGGTGCTAAGCTCCATTTGTGAATTGTGGGAAGGATGGGGCAAATCGCAAAACTCCCTTGAGAAGACAGTGAAGGTATGAAGAATGGAAGAGATAACATCAAACAGAGCCTTGCAGAAATATTGGATTACGTACCAACAGTGCAATAAAGTCGACAAAGCTGCAGACGCAAGCAAACTACATAAAAATGTGGAACACGTCTACTAAATATAACTAGTAGTCTTGTTTGAATTCTCTATAGGCAGATGCCTAATCGTCTCTTTTCATTAATACTACAATGAGATCTGTGATGTGAATAATATAGCTGTGTGAATATATGATACTCCATGTTTTGCTTCATGTGTAAAAATGACTCTAAAAGGCATTTGTCATATCCGGAACAAGGCTCTAGCATCTAGTTTTACTGCTTATTTTGCGAACCACTTTGTAATTTTTTGTGCCGTTGATATGATATGAGTGGGGAGGGGTGAATTGAGGTAGGCTAAGAGAGGGGAGGGGTGAATAGTTGAGGAAGGCTACGAATCGAGGGGGAGAGTATAGGTAGGCTACGAGTGAGGGAGGGAGGAAGAGTTGAGGTAGGAGAAGAGGGGGGAATAGTTGAGGTTGGGTAAGAGGGGGAAGAGTTGAGGTAAGGGTGGGGGAAAGGGGAAGAGTCGCTGCTATTTCACAGCAACTGCACTTGTACAAAATTGTCATGCCGCAATGATCTGTGATACCATAAAGAGAAAGATCTGTGGTAACGTTATAGTTCTGTTGCAATGACTATAGTTGTACTTCTGCTTCAGTTAAAGAATATATTCTCAAAATATTGTCTAACTTCTCCATCTATTCTCTCCAAATACTTCTTATGTTGTCATTGCTCACACAACACTTCAAAACGACCCTAGGTAACTCATTACACCTCAAACGAGTCCAGCGTGCCCCCCTCCCCACACAAACACTAACTCATCGCTAATGTCCCAGAAGGAGATGCCTACTGACTATCTTATGTAACAACTTGTGTGTTGGTTCTCTCAGCTTTCCATCTGGACATAGTAAAGCTTTTACTGTAATGAGGGTCAGGTATCGAACAGTGAAAACAAACATCACTGTGACGTACTATTGACAGACTCGACAATGAAAGATCCAAGGCGACCCATTTAACGGTAAAGTACCATATTACATCCGGGACCTCTACACGGGTCAACGGTCAACGCCATGCTGTTGTTTTCCTAGTTGGTACAGGATTGAAGACAGTTGCGTTTCAAAAGATGCAAATAAACCAACCATAACTTATCAAATTTGAGGCAACATGGAGTGTGAATAATATGTTCGCTACCCAAATCTTTACCTCTATATGATCATGAATGTGTATGTCTAATCTTGTATACCTCCCGTGCTCGTGTTAGGCCACGTTTGGACTACAGATAACATCCTTGCTGTATCAACTAGTTACGGTAAAAGGGAAGTATTTCTCCCACGGTATGGACTGTGTATTGTATTTCACTCCCCTTGACTGACCGTAATAGACAGTGTATCAGGTTGCACTAAAAGCACTTTGAGTGTTGCGGTCCATCAGTGCAGTACGATATTTAGAGAATTCCCGTACCCTCTGTCGACCTTGATTTCATATTCCACCATTAATTCCTTCCTGCAGTGAAATCTAAAACCCCGTCTGTTTTGAGAACCGCGCTCTGGTTGGTGCAGCCCCCATCTCTTTTATTAAGCCGTCTCCGTTTCTCCGGGCCACCTTAAAGAGATGAGGGCAGTAGTGTTACCTTCAAGTTCACCATTCATCCTCGCTACAGCTAATACCTCTGATAGTTATTGATCCGTCTCTGCATCACAGCAGGAGGGTCCGTACATTGCATCCTGTGTGTCTCCTATTTGCCCGGTTTACTCTGAGGCTATGTGTGTCTGCGGCAACCGTCTAGTCAAGAGATTTAGACCGGCATAGCATTGCACTTATCCTTAAGATGATTTTGCTGAGGTGATACACTCTATGTTTTTCACCACTTGTAGGTGAGGAGCGTTCAGCAATTCAGTGAATCCTGCGCTGTGGGTACGCCGTCCTGCCGCCACACAGATGAACTTGGCCATGAGCACCTTGGGAATCCGGATGCAGTGAAGATCAGGACGCGAGGATAACTGCAACGGACATTTCCAATGTGACGAATTGGGTATACACCTCTTTATCACTTGGCGTTGGAGGCTACAGACGTTTACAGGGGCTATAACACTCAATGTTTCTACGCGGATGACATGGAGTCGTCAAGACTTGTCGCGGTACAGCCTAGCAGATATTCAACCCGTCCAAATCATCGAGTAATGTCCTAAACCGTACGACATAAGACACCAGCATCATCCTAGCCATGACTACAACAAGTGTATATGAACTATATACTTATGAAACATATACTGAAGTCACGGAACTGAATTTCACCGTCAACGCAACGGAACCGACGATTGTTGATGCCGCCGATGACGATAGGCCTGTGGAGGGGAAGTCTATCCCCTCCGTGGCTCTCATATGGGTGCTGATCACATCGGGTATCTTCCTTGTTAGTATCCTGGTGAGTCAGACGTGTCAGTACTTAGTCAACCACACCAACCTGCTCGTCCCGTATCGCCAGCGGGACGAGTTTCCGTCGGATGCAGAGTCCTACGACATTCCCGTGGCGAACGGAACCGACCATCACATGCCCGGGATAGCTGTAACCCCCGAGAAGGAGACACCGTTTACCATTGAAGAAATCGTCGAGATGGTCACCTATCAGATACGGGCTAACAACGCGGGTGGGAAGCTGCCGTATTCTCTTGACGACAAGAGAAGACATTTTGCCGTGCACGGGAAGGATAGTGGGTTTTCAGAAACAGAGGACATGGATAGCGTTGTCACTGTTTCAAGCGATGGCACTAGCCAACCCTCGCTCGTCCTGGAGACTCTGCCCATTCCTGACAACGTCATGAATCCGCCGGGTAGTCCTGGCCAGTCTGTCCCGGCATGTCTCTGTAACCACTGCTCAAACCGACACAAAAGACAGAAGCATTGGCAAAAGCTTCAGAGACAAAGGAGGCAGCAATATCTCCGCAAGCAGAGGCTTCAACACCCACACAAATACATCCATAGAACGACGAGGGATCATCAATCGAAAGACATCAATGATAAACATATAGTTGTCTCCATCCCGGCGGAAAACCCATCTACCAGTAAAGACCAGGCTGATACAGCTCCTCTAAAGGATACAAGGGACGCCAGAGTCAACAATAATGAAGTGAAGAGAATAGAAAAAACGTCCAGAAAGTCCGCAGGCTGGGACCTTCCTATCCTACTGGTCAAGGCGCCGTGAACTGTGCCGGCCAGCTGAATAGACAGGCAAAAGCCAAAACGACCTTTCCACACAAGCCTTAAAAACCTCAAGACTAAGTAATCACATAAGGTGCCCATTGGAGAGGAAATACGAGGACAATATCCATTTGTTTTGTGGCGGTCCCAATTTGTGTTCTTTGCCTCTATGCCCAAGGATACGGACATACGGATAAGGGCCTCCTCCATGTTACGTGTTTAAAGCTGTGTCATTCATTATGGAGAGTGGATCCCTGTGTACCGTCTGGACATATCTTTTAACACAATTCAACTGGATGGTTCGTGGAAAGGGACATCCAGTTGCCGAACGAACTACAGTCGGTAAGTACAGTTCCTCCTTTCCTCAGTACCTCAACTTACGTCCCTTAGTCGAACATGGCCCCCGGACACTACCAAACTCCCCCCAAGCATGGTTGGTAGTAGGTCGACTGTGGTTGGCTGATGTTTGGCTACGCCAGTCGTACGTTTCAAATTGTTAAGAACATTCGGGAGTGGACGGGAGGTTCGGCCATGGTTGGGTACTGGTTGGCTGGTGTTCGGGAGTAGGTCAGCAGTGGTCGTGACGTGAATACGAGTGAAGTTTGACTCAGATTTATCTCCAATTTGTTTCGTACAGTTAGGGTGGCATGTTCCAAATCTGGTCAGACTGCTCCCGAACACCAACCAACCTTGGTTGGCTGAGTTTCGAACTTCTGACGACACTTGGACTGGCCTGAAGTATTCTCTAGGTGGCTATCAGGGCGTTAACCCTTCTGAAATTGTCGGGTTTGACTCGCCAGTGATCCCACGTTGACCCCCGGGCAGACTGGCGGACAGGTAATCTTCACTCGCACGCTTGTATGATTAGCGCAAAGCAGTAGCTGGTGATTTGGTGCCCCCTAAAGTAGCTAAAATTGAGAAGGACAGATACCAGGATATTAGTCCACTTGTGGAGTACCATTAGGTAGATAGATAATAACCTATGAGCAAGAATGTATGGAAGAATTCTCCAGAAATTGCTTTCTTCCTGAAGGCGTATAATTGCAACCTATATATTCATTATTCCTTGATATGCCCTACTTACAAATTTTGATTCATTTGGTTATTACCTATTTTGAAATAATTAAGGTTTTCCTGAATGAAAGTGTTAATCCGGAATTATAGCCGGGCCTGTTAGCTACATATATTTCAGCACCGTGGAGAGATACCGCCGTCTCCAAAAGGCGTGGCGGTTCAGCCTTCCATTCAAAATAACTTCAGGCAATTTCCTCAAAATTCAGGCCAATTTCCGCGCCAGCTTTTACTTAACACACGAGTGTACGGCGCTGCTGCTAATAGCGCCAGCCCGGCATGTATCAAGTGGAACGGACAAGGCCAATTAAACAATTTCATGGTTATTGAACGGCTGCTAACGTTGCGATGAAAGGCATGGCGACTCTGTGCAATTAGTGTGTGTAGATCCCATCGAACTGGCTGCCACGGACCAAATTAGATATTGAACCAAGAGGCTCTGAAATTCGGTAAAAAAACGACGCGGGTGAGTTTGGTACTAAATGGTCCACATCGATTCGTCTGGTGCACTCATTTATATAAGCTCCATCCACTTTATACATGTACGTATGGTATGTTAATCTCCTTTTCGTGAAAGTTCATAAGCCGAGTCCAATTCATATACATTCATAGCATCTTATCGTATGCTTCAAAACATCATAAATCCTTATTTCCCCAAGTCCTTTTGGCTATTTGTCTTCTTTTTCAATTAAACCTCTAGAGCGATCCATGTACTATATTTCTGTGTTGTCTGCCTAATCGGTTAATTTCCGTAGTATAGCGTGAGCAGAATACATGTAACCAGAAACCCACCACATAGTGACTATAAGTTGGATTGCTGTGAGTTTTTATTATACATTTGTATCCCCCTCCCGTCGTTTTAGCGTGTATCTACGACTAACAGGCTCGCTGTTGTAATATTAATGATTGGTACTGGGAATGACGATCAAAATGAATTCTTTTATGGTCCCAAACAAACGTTATACATTAATAACCCTAACCCTCCGTGTTTGCGTTGAATAACAATATTGGAAAGCTTAAACCACATATTGACAAAACAACCAGGGATCGTTGAATGGTTGAAAGTCTTTAAAGGAATTTTATAAAATTTCAGGGCGACAATACAAGAATATTATTGAGGAAGAAATCCGTCTAGTATTGACATGTACTGCCATATAGAATTGCACATTTTCGTCATCACTTCATACTTGAAACGATTGAAATAGACTAAAAACAAATTTGACTTTGAAAATCCAGAAATCTTCCACAATTTTTTTTTAACTTGAGACTGACATTTTGCAACAAACCTGACAGGAACCTTTCTTTCTTCTTGCTACAACTCGGAACTATTCTCACCAATAAGAAAGTAATCGCATCTTATGTAACAATTAAGTTACAACGTTTCGATACAAAATTGAATCAGGCATAACCTGATTACATCTCAGAGCGACACTTAAAATGCGATTATATACCGCACAACAGTATCTTTTGATGACTAAAGTTAGAAATCTAATTTATCCAACACGTTACTCATATAAATTGCATATTACATGTAAGTTACGGGTATAGAAAGATGTGCTTTGATATCAATTTCCTATGCTATATTGAAGGAAAATACATTAGACGGTAACCTTTATTCCAGTTTGCCATGTATCCAAGTCCCGGCGAATTCTACACGAACGTAAATGTGCAATCTTGTTAAGTTTGATATAGTCGACTCACGACGTTGACTGTGTTACATAACTGCACGGGAATATGAGATATCTAAAATGAACTACTTTATACAGTTACAGTACTTAGGAAGCATGCACGTGCATCTATTTACACGACTATTTGATACTGTTTTGTATGTAATGTATGCGTCTGCAACTTTTTGGTGTTGGTACTAAATAGGGCAAACCGGGTAACTTCACATCTAGATCGACTTCAATGGGGGTAAACCTGATAAATACCATGACTTGACATCTCTGATTGCTTCTTCACGCCAAGTTCAGGTCAGTAATAGGATTATACTTGGTTTTGGCTCAGACTTGCGGAATGAATAATACATTATCAAATTCATTGCGAGATCTGTTGGAAAGTTAACCCGATGCTAAATTTGTATTCAGCGCACAATACGTGGTTGACGTGGGGGACAGCGATAGTCCGAAAAGCTTGCAACAGATTTGTTTGTTTATCTATAACAATTTACCACGCAGTGGATGGTATGGTGTTCAGGAACAACTTTTCAAACCGAGAAAAACATGAAACACTAAATACATCACGTATTCAGTAAATATTCATACAAGTTCAGAAACAGCAAATGCATAATGTTTACCTTCGCATATGGTCTGCTCTGTTAATTCGTACTCAAATACATTCATATATATGGCCAGACAGGAGTATAAATCCCTCCTACTATAAAATTGCAACATTATGTACAGAGATTATGTAGCCCAACACCAGTTACCATGGTGGGAGACGTCATTGGCCAGGTCAGAGGTCAGTGTTTGGAACGGAAGAAGAGGAAACGTAGCAAAATAATATGTTTTCCTTCGGTAAACATAATCAATTCAAATAAACATAGAAACCAACTTATAAACACACATTTTACTATGAACCCAGCAAAGGGGCTCAGCAGTAAGAAAGAGGGAAGATTCCGAAGAAGAACTATAACAAGCTTATAGGCCCGGTGGATTAACTAATGGTTGCAGAATGTCCCACATACATCACTGCTGTATGTACCAATGCCAAGGCTGACTGCGACTTGAGGTTCATTTTCTAGTGGGCAAGGACAGCTGACCTTCACATAGCCACGAGATTACTTCAATCTACCCGCAGGAGAGAATTGAAGGACAATGAACCTTTAAGGACACAACCTCTTCTGTATCATCTTATCAGTGTTCAAAACTGTGTTTTATAACCGGAAGACATCCGCAACCCCTGGAAAAAAAATATTACGTAAATATTTAATTTAAATAGAATAGAATAGAATAGAATAGAATAGAATAGAATAGAATAGAATAGAATAGAGGACGAATGTCATTTTGTGATAGAATTTACTGTATGGCAAGGAATAAGATGCATTTGGTCTGTATGCATTTGGTCAGAATCTATTTCCCTATTTTATACATATCATAATCGATGTAGAATTTCTTTTATATTGTTTGTCGGGTGGAGGCCAGTTACTAGTCATTGATATTTTTGTAGCATTCAAATAACTTTGTGTCCCTTAGTCTTTACACACCTACCTTGCTTTTTACCTCCATGAAATGTGTCATGGAGGTTATATTTTCAGTTGCGTTTATCTGTCCGTCTGTTGGTCAACAAGATAACTCAAGAACGCCTGGATGGATTGGTTTCATACTTGGTGTGTTGGTAGGGTGTGACAAAAACTGGAAATGATGAGATTTTGGTCCCCCTAGTGGCTTCCCTTGGTACTGCAGCGCAACGTCCGGTTTTGATATCTCGCGATCTGGACATGCTAGGGTCATGAAATTTTGATGGAAGGTAGCTCTCGTGCTTGGGAAGAAGTCATATGAGTTTGGGCCCCCTAGCGGCTTGTTCTGGAACTGCAGGGCACTTTCTGGCGAAATGTTTAAAAGCCAATAAGTCCAGACAGGAACAACATATTTTCATTATTTTTGGTGTGTAGGTAGTTGAGAGAGAGATGTACATAATTAAATGCAAATTATGCAAATGAGGACTTTATTTGCATAATTAATGAGGAAATTCTATAATTACAGTGTTTTACATTATACTACTTACATACATGTAATGTATGTAACCTATGGCAGGCGGACCTTCAACACATACTAATTATGCAAATGATGACCTAATTTGCATAATTAATGCGAAAATTCTATGATTTCGTAAAGGTGAATGATGAGAATGTCTTCATTATTTTTGGTGTGTAGGTAGCTGAGAGAGAGATGTACATAATTAAATGCAAATTATGCAAATGAGGACTTTATT